ACAACCCTCTTTTTGACTCATGCAGAATACGGGACCTTGATGGAAGGCAGTTGTGGATTCACACTGCTGTGTATATACTTCAAAAAACAGATTTCAGAGAGACCTCCTGGGTCTTGAAATATGACACTGTTTAAGAAGGGACCCCAAAATACACTATCAGCTCTCATCAGCTGGGAAGGCACAATGGGAAATCCAGGATGCCTCAAATAACTGGGTCCTAGGCCATGTAGGGCTTTATAAGTCATAGCCAGCACTTTGAATTCAATCCAGAAGCAAATTGGCAGCAGTGCAGATCACAAAACTAAACAGAGGTCCTACGATGGGTGTACCAAGGCGTTTTCATCACTGCTCATGCCATTCTGGACCAGTTGAAGCTTCCAAGAGCAGCACTACATAGAGGGCACTGCAGTAGTCAAGATCACTGGAGCATGAATGACTGGAGGGTGTCCTCATCCAGGAAAGAACACAATTAGCAATAGCACTTAGACTTATATAGCGCTTCACAATGCTTTACAGACCTCTATAAACAATTTACAGAGTCAGCCTCTTGCCCCCAACAATCGGGGTCCTCGTTTTATTGACCTCGGAAGGATGGAAGGCTGAGTCAGCCTTGAGCTGATGAGAATCGAACTGCTGGCAGCCGCCAGTCTGCAGAAGTAGCCTGCCAGTGTTGCATTCGAACCCCTGTGCCACCACGGCTCTTGAATTGGTGCACTAATTGAAGCTGCACAAAGACAACTTTGGCTACAGTGCCATCTGCTCGCTCGTTGAGCAGGAGCTGTAAATCAAAGATGACCCCCAGATTCAGCAATAGAGTGGTCAATGTCTGGAATACTCTACCCGATTCTGTAGTTTCTTCCCCAAACCCCAAAAACTTTAACCTTAGATTGTCTACTATTGACCTCACCCCTTTCCTAAGAGGTCTGTAGGGGGCGTGCATAAGCGCACCAACGTGCCTACCATCCCTGTCCTATTGTTTCTCTTATTCTTCTTTTATTTTTCTTATATGTACCCATTTCATGTATTCACAACTATGTATACACTTATACTTATTATCTTGTAAACAATTGTCAAATCAAATAAATAAATAAATAAATAAATTACACACCATCCTTGAAGGGGGAAGGACAAATTCACCCAGGATCAAAGTTACAATCTCCCTGGATCTAAGTGGCCCTAGCAACCACAGCCAACCAATCTTGATAAGACTGAGTTGAAGACAGCTCCTTTCCATCCAGCCCTTTGCGGCAGAAGGGCAAGACTTGGACAACCTCATTTGCCCAGCCTGGGATCGAAACCCAGTGGTTTCACGTGGTTGTTGAATAGGAGAGGTGAGAGCACAAAGTCTTGTGGCATCCCACAAAGGGCAACATCTCCCTCCACCCAATTAATATTGTCTGAAACCAGCCCCGAAGCAAGAGCACCACCACAAAATAGTTCCCTCAGCTCCCATCTCCAAGAAGGCTATCATAGTTGACGGCATCAAAAGATGCCGAGACATTAAGAAGAACAAGGGAAAGTGTACCACCTCCAGCCTGGTTTTGCCACAGGTCTCCACCAAAGCATACCCAAGATTGTCTCCATACTGAATCCTACCTAAACAGACCAAAATAATCTGCTTCCTCAAGGGTTCTCAGCAACTTCAGGCCGACCAGCTTCTCAACAACTTTGCTTAAAAAGTAACTTAATCTTCACATTCTGTAGAGTTGGAATGGCACTGGGAGTGTCAGGGCTGACAATTACTACATGTCAGACCAGCCTCAACTTGAACCTTAAGTAAAAATGATCCTTGACTCCATTTATTGAGAAAGATACCATTTACTGAAGGTCAAGTGAAATACAGTCGTGCAAAGCCAGAACTGAAAATCGCACACCAAAATCCCCAAGTGTTAATTCTGCCTCCCATACGTGCTTCCAGTTGCTTGCCCCTCGTCCAATCAAATTCAAAGGAGATGTTTTTGGAAGTGTGGGCTGGTATGCAGCTTCATTCCTTTCCCCATTATCTGACCTTGAACCCATGTCTCTGGCAGATACAATGAACCATTACCCCCCCCAAAATTCTCCTTCTCCTCTTCTCCCCAGAGTTCATTGGCAGACTGCCACTAAGCGAAGTGCAAGTGTGCAAGGTGGCAGTTCTGACACTATGGTTCATTTTGTGATAGCCTTGATTGTTCTAAGCTATGACATGAAGGGTCACAGAAGCCAATATCTGTGGCAGGGGTCCCTAAACTTGGCAACTTTTAAGACTTGTGGACTTCAACTTTAAAACTTGTGGACTTCAATTCCCAGAATTCTCCAGCTGGCTGGAGAATTCTGGGAGTTGAAGTCCACAGTTCTTAAAGTTGTCAAGTTTGGGGACCCCTGATCTGTGAGATCATCTCATTTCCCTTTTTGTCTTTTTGCAAAATGTTGCTTACCCCAAAAGGGAATAGCATGATGGATATATAGTAATAATACTTGTGCTGGGCCCTTGTGTCAAAACTTTCTTGAGTTTTCTCAGTTAAGCAGGAATGTTCTTCTTCTCTTTTCAGCGTGCCGTGTCCTTCCAGGAGGTAGCAGTGTGTTTCACAGAAGAGTGGGCTCTGCTGGATTCCATGCAGAAATCCCTCCTTGGGGAAGTCATGATGGAAAATTCTAGAAATGTGACTTCTCTGGGTAAGGACCCTTCCTTCTCTGAGTTCATGATGGAACTGAAAGCAAATAAGAACTAATCAAGCAAAAATCCCTACACATCCCTGAAATTTTCTCCTCAGGATCTCATCATTTCCACCCAAGCATGCCGTTCTTTTCCTCACAACTAGTCCTTTGTCTTTCATATATTTTTCAATTGGGTCCGTGTTCCTTCTCTCCCTTTTGTATTCGGTCCATCTTCTTTGAAAATCCTGGTAGTTCCTAATGTTCCCATTAATGATTTGGTGAGCCCTTTGATCAGTGCAAAGTTGTCAAACAGATAATTATTGTACAAACCAGGAACACCAGAGGATTCAGGGACGAGAATACAGACCCGACATTCAAATACACTTTCGCTCCTCCCCATCAAATGACATCGAATTCACTGTTACTGGTGAACATCAAAGGTCCTTTTTCATCAGAAGTTACTTTTAGATTTGCACTATAATCCTCTGGCGATCTTGCAGGACATGTAACTTTATATATTTTATTTTATTTATTTATTTATTTTAGTCAATTGCTTGCAAGATAATAGGTAAAGTAAAAACATAGTTATGAATACATGATATGATTGATGATGTACATACTTATCCAGTATACATAATTTGTGGTTCTAATGTCCTGAGTTTTCAATTATGAAAAAAAACCCTTTCCTGATTCTTTTGACAATAATGATGGGTAAATATTTCTCCTAGCCAATTCAGCCTCCTAAGATGCAACAGTTTCATGTTCTATTGATTGGCTCCAGCTGGCTAAAATCCAAACTCCTAATGTTTGCAGGCAGCATCTCAATCCTTTTAACTACAACGTATTTTCATTGCTACCTTTTTCTTTCCTCTTCCATTTTGTACCTTGTTTAAATCTTTATTAGCAAGTTGGGTGGGGGTGGGCAAAACAGCTCATGAAATCAGTGGGAAATACTCTAGCAAACAAATAACATTTGAAACAGTTGTGTAAGCAAAATCTAATACAGTGGTACCTTGGCAGTCATCGTTAATTGGTTCCGGGAGGTATGATGAGTACCAAGAAGGATGAGTACTAAATATTTTTTTCCATAAGGAATAATGTTACAATTCAGTCACAGCTGACAATAGAATAGAATAGAATAGAATAGAATAGAATAGAATAGAATAGAATAGAATAATAGAATAGAATAGAATAGAATAGAATAGAATAGAATAGAATAGAATAGAATAGAATAGAATTCTTTATTGGCCAAGTGTGATTAGACACACAATGAATTTGTCTTGGTGTAAATGCTTTCAGTGTACATACAAGAAAAGATACATTCATCAAGAGTCAAGAATCATCAGGTACAATACTTAATAATAGTCATAGGGTACAATAAGCAATCAAATCATACTAGGAAACAGTCAAAAATCGTAAGAATACAAGCAAAAAAGTTACAGTCATACAGTCATAAGTGGTAAACAATGACAAGTCAAGTGTAATATAGTCATAAGTGGTAAACAATGACAAGTTCTAGCGTGTGGGTTGAGTAGCAAACAAACAATGAGTAGTGTGACAAAATAATGTTGGTGTCAAAATGCATTGAGTACCGATGAGTTTCAAAGCAATTGAGTACCAAGGTACCATTGTATAAGTTTTAACAATGTAGAAAAAGAATCTTCCAGATGCTGATCAACTCCCATTAGAAGTAGCTGTTTAACTAATGGAAGTTGATCTTCAATGCCCCACCCAATTCCTGTGGGAAAGGTCTTAGAAGATTTACATGTCTTTTTTATATATCTCTCTCTTTCTTTTTCTCACTCATTCCCCACATAGAAGGAGATGAGCAGGAAACTGTGAACAATCAGAAACTAGATGCAATGTCAGAAACATTGGAGCAAGAAGTGGGACAGGAGACTTCTGAATGTCAGTGGAGCTCAAAGATACATGAGGATTACCACCTTCAGTATATGAGAGATAATTCATCCCCTCCCCAGTGTGTGGAAGTCCTTGAGTCCTCAACCCAACAGGAACACATGGAAAACAGAACTAACTCTTGGCTACTACATAGGACAATATTAACAAATACCTTGGACTTAGATAATCAGTGTGCAACTGAGGCTGAATACAACGACGATGAAGACAGAAACACTGAATTGTCTTGCAGGCAAACCTTCCCTTCTCCTTCGTATCAAGAAATCCACATTGGGGAGAATTCCTATAAATGCACGGAATCCGGAGAGGAGCTCAGTGAGCCCAGTAACCTTGCCTCCCAAAAAACAATGCCAAAAGGCAAAAGAGCGCATAAATATCTAGAGCATGGAAAAAAGAACTTCAAACAGGGTAGTCTGCTTAACGCCCAGACGAAGCTTCACAATGAGAAACCCTATCAATGCAAGGAGTGTGGAAAGAGCTTCAGGAGCAGCAGTCACCTAACATCCCATCATAGGATCCACACAGGAGAAAAACCTTACAAATGTGTGGAGTGTGGGAAGAGCTTTAGGCAACGGAGTCATCTTATTTCTCACAGAAGGATCCACTCAGGTGAAAAACCATATACGTGCATAGAGTGTGGTGAGAGCTTCAGGTTGAGCAGTCAGCTGACATACCACATGTGGAATCACACGGGGGAGAAGCCATATAGTTGTGCAGAATGCGGGAAAAGTTTCAGCAACGTCAGTTCCCTCACTTGCCACAAAACTATCCATACAGGAGAGAAACGATATAAATGCACAGAGTGTGGGAAAAGGTTCCGGAACAGCAGTCATCTTACTTCCCATAAAAGGATCCATACAGGGGAGAAACCATATAAATGCGCGGAGTGCGGGAAGTGCTTCAGAGACAGCTCGGCCCTGGTGTCTCATAGAACCATCCATACCGGAGAGAAACCGTACAAATGTATGGAGTGTGGAAAGAGTTTCAGCCAGGGATACTCCCTTACGACCCATCAGATGATCCATTCGGGGGAAAGACCATACAAATGTATGCAGTGTGGCAAGAGCTTCAAATGGAATAGTCACCTTACGGCCCATCAAAGGATCCACACGGGAGAAAAACCGTATAAATGTGTGCAGTGTGGAAAGAGCTTCAAAAACAGGAGTAACCTCACCAGCCATAAAAGGATCCACACAGGAGAAAAACCGTACAAATGCACGGAGTGTGGGAAGTGTTTCCGAGGCAGCTCCGCCCTCATTTGCCATAAAACCATCCACACGGGAGAAAAACCATATAAATGTATTGAATGCGGCAAGAGCTTCAGCAGAGGCAGTTCCCTTACTTTCCATAAAAGGATTCACACAGGAGAGAAACCCTATCAGTGTCTGGAGTGTGGAAAGAGCTTCAACCAGAGTAATTCCCTTATTTTCCACAGTAGCGTCCACACGGGGGAGAAACCATTTAAATGTATCGAGTGTGGAAAGAGCTTCAGCAAAGAAGGTTGCTTTATTTCCCACAAAATGATCCACACAGGGGAGAAACCCTACCAATGTATGGAGTGTGGAAAGACATTCCGATTGAACAGTCAGCTTACATCTCATCAAAGGATCCACACGGGGGAAAAACCATATAACTGTACGGAGTGTGGAAAGACCTTCCGATTAAGCAGCGATCTGACTTCCCATAAAAGGATCCACACAGGAGAGAAACCGTATGAATGCATGGGATGCGGGAAGAGCTTCAAGCGAAGCAGTGACCTTACTTCCCATAAAAGGATCCACACTGGTGAAAGACCGTATCAGTGTATGGAGTGTGGAAAGACCTTCACAATGCGATCGTCCCTGACTTCTCACAAAAGGATTCACACGGGGGAGAAGCCGTATCAGTGCACAGAGTGCGGAAAGAGCTTCCGTGAAAATGGGTCTCTCACTATTCATAAGAGGATCCACACTGGAGAGAAACCGTATCAATGTATGGAGTGTGGAATGAGTTTCCGGCTACGCAGTCAGCTTGCATCTCATAAGAGTATGCACAGGAGTTTATCCATAGAGCCTGGATTGTAGGAGAAAAAAATGGCATTGAATAGACCAGGCAAAACTTCCCCCTTCCCAGGGGCAAAATTAACCCTCTCCACTCAGCCATAGAAGGCCCAGGAGTACAGAGATACTGAGAGATGAGCAAAGGCTTTGGGAAGCAAGGCCCATATATGACAAGCCATAAAAACATCCTTAGAAACCTACTATGTTCATACAATACATTGTTCACTCAAATACATTATTATTTTTGTAACTCTGTTCCATTGCCTCATGGATTCCATGTCTGATTTCACTAACCAAGGCACCCATCACACACATGCTTAATTCAATTATTTTTGACAATCGTATGTATATTCTAGTTTGTGTAAGTGTGTAAGGAGATATTTCCTCCCTGTTTAGATTTTGCTTCTGCTATCTCTAGTACTATAATAAATATATTCTTTGGTGGACGATGTTCTAGTTTCCCTTGTGAATAAAATCTTGGGATAGTTTGTGAGAAAATCTAATCTTAGAGGGAAAAGATTCAATTATGTTTCCTGCTTGTACTAACATGGGTGTTGAAAGTATAGGAACAAATGGAGGAGAATATTTGTAGCTCAGGGTTGAAATGACGGAGCCCTGGTGCTCTTAGAGCTTGGTTGTTTTCTTGCAGACATTTCATCATCAAACTAGGTAACATCATCAGTGCTGGGTATAGCAACAGTTAATGGCAGAGGAAGAGTTATCTTGTTGTTCCTCAATGAATCCATTCGGAAACAAACTAGGTTTGTAAACTTTCTGTAGGAACTTTCTGGAACTTTATGTTCATTGGACCATGATGATCTGACCATTTCAAGGGTGATCCACCAGTATTCAGGAAATAAATAACTCAGTGCTTCTTTCAGGCAAAGTTATATTGATTTGAGAATTCATTAACAACATAACTCAAGGGAGACATCACAATATTTAGAATTTGCATGAAATTGTCTGCATTGTGAGGTAAATTTAAATGGCTGGATTATTTCTACAACAGTATGGGACGCGGTGGCTCAGTGGCTCAAGTGGCAGCTTGTCGATCAGAAAGTTTGGCAGTTCAAATCCCTAGCATCGCGTAACAGAGTGAGCTCCCGTTACTTGTCCCATCTTCTGCCAACCTAGCAGTTCGAAAGCATGTAAAAATGCAAGTAGAAAAATAGGGACACTTTTATGGGAAGTTAACAGCGTTCCTTGCACCTTCGGCATTTAGTCATGCCAGCCACATGACCACGGAGACGTCTTTGGACAGCACTGGCTCTTTGGCTTAGAAAAGGAGATGAGCTAGAGCCAGAAACGATTAGCATGTATGTGCAAGGGAACCTTTCCCTTTCCCTTTATGGATAGTGTACATACAGGAAGAAGCAATGAAGAGAGGAAGTGAAATAACCTTTGAAACCATTGATGGGAGAAGCTTTTCAGTCCTAGGAGTTTGTGATTGATTATCTGCCACAAGAGTTATTACCAAATTTTTGGAACCATCAATAACCATATTGACTCAGACTCAATAGACACAAAGCACTGGGAACCTGGGCAGAATTTGGACAGAAAATGTATCTTCACTTCATTGACTGCAGGGGGGGTGATGGAGACATTATTTCACAAAAGGAAAGCTTTCAAATAAAAAGAAAGTTGAAGATACGTGCAGAAATATAATTTTAATAATAAAACTATTTCCTGTTTTAACTACTTACTATCTAAAAGCCCTTTATCTACCCTTTATCTCTTTTTCTAAAGACTCTTTATCTACACAAGATTCTGTAAAGTACATTTTCACTATATTTCCATAACATTTTATTCTATGTCTCCAATATAGAGGAAGTCCACAGTTGATGACAGTTACCATGTAGTAACATGTACCATAAAGTTCAGCAACTTTATGCTGTGTTGAACAAACAGTACTTAATGTCCGATTCTTCATATAGATCAGTGATGGCTAAACTTTTTGTCGTTTTGTGCCGAAAGTGCACGTGCACGCACACATACATTTGCCTGCACCCATAATGCAATGCATGTGTGACACCCCCACACACACCCCTGCGCATGTGCGAACGACACCCCCCTGTGTACCGTGCTCCTTTGTGCAAACGTGAGCGACACCCCCATGCCATGCACATCTGTGCATGTGCACACGACCCCCAGGCGTGTCCTGCCCCCCTGTGCAGGCGCGCACATCTCCCGTGCCCCCGCATCCTCCCATGCATGTGCAGCAGATACCCGACAATCAGCTGGCTGGCGGGAGGTACACACGCATGCACAGTAGATCTGTTCCGGGTGAGAGCTCACGTGCCGGCAGATATGACGGTGCTACTTCCGGCATGCATGCCATAGGTTCGCCATCAAGGATATAGGTAGTCCTCAACATATGACCACAATTGAGCCCAAATTTCTGTTGTTAAGTGAACCTATTGTTAAGTGAATTTTGCTCACCTTTCTCGCCACCATTGTTAAGTGAATCACTGCAGTTGTTAAGTTAGTAACAATTCTGAAACGAATCAGGGTTCGCTATTGACCTTGCTTGTGAGAAGCTCGTAAAAGGCAATGACCTGATTCTAGGACACTGCAACCGTCATAAAAATGAACCAGTTGCCAAGCGTCCGAATTTGGCATGACCATGGGGATGCTCCAATGGTTGTAAGTGTGACAGATGGTCATAAGTCACTGTTTTCAGTGCTGTTGTATTTAAACAGCCACTAAACAAATGGTAAGTTGAAGACTTCCTGTAAGTTGCAGTGTCCCAGGGTCATGTAATCGCCTTTTGTGATCTTCTGGCAGTGTTAATGGGAAGCCAGATTCACTTAATAGTTGTGTTACTAATGTAACAACTACCATGATTCACTTAACAGTAGTGGCAAAAAAAATAAATCAAAATGAGGCAAAATTGAATTGTCTTGCTTGGGCTCAGTTGTGATTATTGAGTTGAGGACTACCTGAGTCACCACTACTACACTACTATCTACTCACTGAGGTTAGGAAGGACCAAGTTGGGAGCGGCTAAGATCTGGGTGGGCTCTTACCTAAACCTGGTGGGATTCAGTTTAGACTTAGAGACTTAGAATAACTTTATTGTCTCTTGAATGTACACTAATTGGCATACATTAAAATAAAATGTCATTGCATACAGTTAACAACGATAAGTAAGGGCCTCTCTCCGAGCAGAGGTGGTATTCAGTAGGTTCTGACCAGTTCTGTAGAACTGGTAGCGGAAATTTTGAGTAGTTTGGAGAACCGGCAAATACCACCTCTGACTGGAAATTTTACAGTATCCTTCCCCTGTCACGCCCACCAAGCCATGCCCACAGAACCAGTAGTAAAAAAATTTGAATCCCACCACTGTCTCTGAGAAATAGGCAGTTAAAAATATGAAATATAAATAAATAAAATGATAACCCGGTCTATTAAACTGGTTGGTGATAAACGAGAGTCGTGCAGTGTGCATTATTATTGCATTGCTTAGCAAAGGCCCAATTTATTTGTGTATGGCCGATTTCTCTACTTCGGTCATATTTATCCCTGTACATCTTAGTGGTTGCTCTTGAGGAAGCCAAGTCCCTTTTCCCATAGAATGTGTTTTAATCTTTTTACATTTCTGACTTCTATTTCCGTTTAGTTTTAATTTCCCTTTTTTTTTAAAAAAATCCCTATTTCTTCCCACTTGGCTGCCTCTGAGGGAAATTTCCCCCTCAGACAGGTTCTGAGGGAAACCAAAAAGCACCCACCCAGTTTCCTCAGTTACTGCCTCCTTGGCTGCCTCTCCTGAATTTCATTTAATTTAAATTTCACTCTCTTTTTGCTTTGTTTATTCAGCCTAGTTATTTAAATTATACTCTTTCTTTGCCTGTTTATTCAGCCTAGTTGTCAAGGCTGCGGTGATAGAAACTGCCTCTGGCAGCCATCTTGCCCTCCCTCAGCCTCCCTTCCTTGCCTCCCTGTCAAAGTGGTGATGTCTGATTGGCCACTGCGACTGGGTGATTAGCAACTGTGTCGTCTTGACAACGGAGACGGGCTAAGACAGAAGGAGTGGCAGAAGCCCAGCAGGGATTTGTGAACTGCTCTAGGGGATGATCAGGGTCATTTCTGGGGACAGGTTACCTGTCGCTTGCCTGGAAGTCACCTGTGAGGGGACCTTGAACCCTGTTGCTCCTAGGTGGCCTCTCCATCTGGGGCAAATGGACAGAGTCTTGGGCCTCCAAAGGACGCCAGGAGAAGTCAAAACTCCAGAAGAAACACCCTGAAGACTGTCAGAGGAAGTCCACCTAACTAAATACTACACCAGCCTTGGGATTACCTGGTGGTGACCTGTGCAGCAAAACAGAATTTCCCCCCTCTTCTCACATCCCTGTCTAGCTGCCAGGCAGCCTTTTTCAAAATGGCTTCTGCATGTGAGAGAGAGAGTTCACTCACGGGATCATCTACAGGGCTATTATGAAGAATATTGAGACCCAGTTTAATCTGTATCAGAACAGAGCCGGAAGGGAACTTGGGAGATCTAGTCCAACCCGCTACTCATATAGGAAACCAGGGGTGTCAAACTCGCGGCGTTGCGGTATTGTCACATGAAGTATCACTATTTTTTCCTTCGCTAAAATGGGGGTGGGGTGGCCAGTGCATGATGCATCCAGCTTGGGGGCCGTGAGTTTGACAGCCCTACTGTATACCATTTCAGACAAATGGCTGTCCAGTCTCTTCTTAAAAACCTCCAGTGATGAAGCACCCACAATTTTTGAAGGCAAGCTGTGTTGTTGGTTAATTGTTCTCACTGTTAGGAAATTTCTCCTTAATTCCAGGTTGCTGCTGCTCCTTCATTAGTTTTCATCCATTGCTTTTTGTCTTGCCTTCTGGTGCTTTGAATAATCGGTTGCCCCCTCTTCTTTGTGGCAGCCCCTCAAATATTGGAATACTGCTATCATGTCACCCCCAAGTCCTTCATTTCTCTAGATTAGCCAAACCCAAATCCTGCAGCCGTTCTTCATGTGTTTTAGTCTCCAAGGCTTTTAATCATCTTAGTTGCTCTTCTCTGTACTTTTCCCAAAGTCTCAATATCTTTTTTATAACGCGGTGACCAAAACTTGATGCAGTATTCCAGATGTGGCCTTACTAAGGCTTTATACTAATACTTCACATAGTTAAGGCACCAGGCTAGAAAAAGGAAGACCCCACACGATCTTTCTGACTTTTTTTGTTTTAAGCAGGAAGTGTCAGAAAAGTTACCACAGGGATAATTGACTTGTGGCGGCCAAGCATTCATAGCGACGTCACTTTTTGATCCTTCGATATTGGCTGTTCCTATAATTGTGAAGCAGAATTCACCAAGCTTTGGTTTGTTCACACACCAATAGGGAACGTAAGCTGGGTTTAGGCTGTCGTAAGACAGGTTAGTTCTACCCTACTGATGATGTGTTTGTTGCACTAGTAATCCTGCTCAGTACAAG